TGATGCAGAACTATTCCTTTCTCATCCAATGCGCCCAGTTTGAATTTGCCAAAAAAGCAGAGGCCCGTGCGTCGCCGCGGTTTGAGCTTTCGGTTTTGGATGTGCCCGGCAATTGCTTTTTGCGCCTTGCGATTGTTGATGATGATGATGCCTTACCTCGATGTCCGTACTCTCGCCACTTTGCCTGTGCGCTCTTGGCTTGGGCTAAAGGATTGCAGTGGGCCTGCAGTCGCCCACATGCAGACACATCGATGACAGAGCTTCTTGTAAATTTCATCTTTAGCGCAGGGTTACGGCCACCAGTCAACATCGACAAATTTCGGGCTGGGAAGCGACCGGCCTACTCAATGCGAAACTCTTGCCCATGCGATTTACCTTTAGAAGCCTTCGCGTTTGCAGAAGTCCTGCGAACATTCCAAGGTGCTTTGAAATGGTTCAGGAAGTACATGCGTGTAGACCTCCTACCAGGAGAGTTTGTTGCGAATTGCCGAAGTCTATACGTGCTGGGCTGCAGCTGCCCAACAAAAGGTGTTTCTTATCAAGTGAAACACGCGTGTGAGCCGGACCCTCGCGCTCACTTGCAGGATCTGTGTATGCGCCGTTCAGCAGGAAGTGGAGGTGTGACTATCAAAGGGGAACTACTCGAGTGTACTCAGGAGTGTAGTTTACTTGCAGACTATGCGAGGGAGCTGTTCCAGGGAGCTGGTCTCTGCGAGCCACTTGCTGCAGAATGGTTTGCGGAAGAGTCCTGGGTGAAGGCTTTGCCTTGCTACGCACTCAGAAGGCGGCGCCGCAGAGTTCAGCTTCAGCGAGCTCATGCAGAATGAGTAGGGCCAGCGCTGAGTCAGATCGTGCCGTCAATGCTTTAGCGTGTTCCCGTCCTAGTGTTACTCAACACTGGTGCCAAGTACAACTGGCGTGGACGCCGAAAGCTGGACAAACTCCGTCTTGTCCCGGCAACCTTCGTGCTGTTGGGTTGATGACACCTGACACCGAAGCTTTTCTGCTGATATTGAAGCAACATGCTAACCCAGTTGTGCAGGAAACCCTACAGCAGCATCCACAATTTGCGCATCGTCAGGTACACTCCACGGTAGATCCCATATGAAGAGCCAGCAGCCACTGTCGCGAGGTCAGACAACTTCTGGACACGTGCAAGGGGGACCTCGCCGCAAGAGTTTTAGGCCTGCGTGAAGCGGAGCTGGCAGGAGGGATAATGTGCAGCTTAGAGTTGGCGACGGCTTTTGATTCAGTTGACTACCAGGAGATGTACGCTGCTTTGTGAGACGGGCGCGCCGGTTGCCATGGCGAAGGTCTTGATAGACATCCATGTGCGCGCAGAGTTGCGCATCAGTCATTGCGGCTGCTCCGAGGTTGTCGCAATGACGCGTGGTGGCCTTCGGCAAGGCTGTCCGGTGGCTCCCATGATAAATGCAGCGTGGGCACGCAAGCTGTGCAAGATTCTCAACGGCAAACTTGGTCAGGGGTGGTCTCAGGAACACATGAGTATCTTTGCTATTGGAAAGTCAACAGCAAGCGCTCATTTCTGCAAGCCACTAAGCAGGTTGGTGTTCTGATTGATGTCTTGCAGAGCCTCAAAATGTGAGCATCAACGTTGGGCAGTCCACAGTGACTGTGGTCTATGCGCTGAAGGGCAGAGCTGCTGAGGAGATTGTAGCCAGGTTCACTCGGCTACTCCGAAGTGGCAAGCAGGACGTGCGCATCTCCCTTGCAGACAAGTTTGTGTATCTTGGTGTTCGTTGTCGTGTGATTCGTTTGAGATGCAGTCCGCAATGTAGAGGATTGACAGCCAATCAAATATTTGGGAGCCTCAAAAACGTGCTGTGAGTCCACGGCAGTCTTAGCAAACCACAAGGGCTACAACTGTACAAGAAAGGTCAACCGCCGCAAGGCATCTGATGTCCTGTTGGAGCGTCTTGACTCTGTCCTCCAGCTCATTGAGGCATGCCATCGGCTCCGCCCCAGGGCGTGTGCGGTCATCCGCCCAAGTCATAACAAGCTCCACATCCGGATGTCCTACCTACTGATAGTCGCTAATTCCCAATGTGCTCGGCTCCTCCGACAACTGGGTACAAAACACGCGACAGCAGCAATCTGCTGAGGCGCATCCTGGGCAACCCTTTGCCCTGGACATCCTGGATGCCCTGATCGTTTTGGCCGAGGACCCTGACAGCAGCTTCCTACAGCGCCTCAAAGAAGGTGTCCTGCTGGCATTGTACGGGCCAGCTCTGGATGACGCAGAGATCTGGCCAACCAAGCAAGAACTTTTGAACTGTCCCCCGGAATTGGAGCCAATGCAAGCAACAATTGCGGAAAACTATCCCAGTGCTACGAACTTCGCAGACACCATTGAGACAACTTTCTTGGGAGCGAGAGCCTTGGGGATGGTCCTGGGCCCTTTTCCCAGGAACCGGCGGCCAAAGCTTGCCAGTGCAAGACAGGAATCCAAGAAGTGGACAAGTCAGGGCAATTTTTGATGCCACGATCATCGGGGTCAATGACAACATCAGGGCGAACACGGAGAAGAAAACGACAGACCCCACACTGTTTGACCTGCTAGTGGCAAGATCAACTTTGGAGGGCTCGGACTTCACCCTCTTCAAGCCGGATGTCAGCAAGGCTCACCGCTGCAATAAGGTCACAAAGAAGCGCTGGCGGTACATGATTGCCGCAGTGAAGGACAAGTTCTGGGTCAACATGGTCGGCGCCTATGGAGTCGCCTCGGCGCAGCTCTACGGGGAAGCGTGGCGGCCTTGCTCACTCGCCTGGCTTACCACCTCTCATTTGGATCTTCGTCTTTCTGGACGACTTTTTGGCGCTGCTAAGGAAAGCGACGGGCCTTCATGACTCTTACGTGCTTGCGCTGTTTCTCAATCTTCAGGGGGTGCTCCATCTCCTGGCGCAAGAACGTGCTCGGCGTGTGGCGTGGAGAACAGATGGCTCGGTTACATGGTGGACATCTCGAAGCTCACGGTCTGGCTGCCAGAAGACAAGACATGACAAGACGAATATCCTCTTGCGAACGCTGGAGAAGCTCGCGACAGGCCAGCTCCACACCAAGAAGGAGGTCACCTCCCTTCTGGCAAGACTCCAGTGGAGGGAAAGGCTTACCCACAAATCTGTCCTTGCCTTCAACCTTTTCTACGCGTGGAAACAGAAGACTCAACGGAAATGCAGACCGGAATGTTCTTGGCCAAGCTGGTCTCGAAGATTATTGTCGTGTCTGGACCTCGTGCTCTTCTCCGGAACTGCCAAAGACAAGGTTGTTTTGGCAGTAGTGATGCTGGCTCCAACAAGCCTAACCCTGCGAGGCATGAAGTCCGATGGTTTGCGCTGGAGGTCACTGAGGCACCGTGGATGGCTCCTTTGATGCAGCATACCAAGGCCAAGCGCAGTTTTGGAGCCTTGGAGGCTGGGAACCTTGATCCTCTTCATCTTGGCAGCAAATTTGTCACCAATGAGCACTAGGGATGTCAACATCCCCTTGAGCACCGACAACGAAGGGAATGCTTTCTCTGCGAGCAAGAAGTCTTCGAAACGATTGCCCTGCTCAGCTTGTTTGGTGGAGCTCACTGCGCAGGAACAAGCTTTGGGCTCCTTCGTCACCCTCTCGCACGTGAAGAGATGCTCGAACACATGGGCAGACCAGCTCACCCTATTGGACTTCACCGGCTTCAGCGAGGACCTGCAGTTGGACGAACTTCTGAAGTTGCGGGCCTTAGATGAAGCCAGTTGAATTTCTCGATTGCCTCAGGTGCCCAAAGGGCATCTGGTTTTCTAGAGATTTCCCAACCGCGTAGAAATTGTCAGGCGGGCAAGGAACATCTGCACGGTATTAGTTACGGCCTAGATTTTCTCGGGAATCGCATGTCAAACACAGCTCGGGATCACGGAGCACAAGCACTGTTCCTATTCTCCCCATGCCTGGTTTTGCTGCTTTCCGACCTATCTCCGGGTAGGTTCGTTTGCTGTGTCTGCCTTTTCAGGTCTCGGGGGAACATGTTGCCGCCCACTCGGATCTGATCTGGAAGTGAAAGTGCACTAGATTCTGCGTCGTGTGGGACTGCACTGTTGACAAGTAAGAGTAAGAGAAAGAGTGCCAAAATGGTTTAAGGCAATCGTAAGAAATAACAAAGCAGTATTCAGAGTAGTACTAAGAGGAGAAATAAGAGTAGGAGAAGAAGAGAAATGAGAGTTGAGTAAGAAGAATAATCAGAGCAAACAGACTTCTGAGATGAATGAGAACCATAGGAGTTTCAGTCGTAATGATTGTGCTAGTAGTAGTAGTAGTAGTAGTAGTAGTCGTAGTCAGACAGGATCAAGAGATCAGACGACAGTTTGTTGGTTTGGGATGTCTTTTTACCGGCTTTCGTGTTTTTTGACTGCTACTCCCGTCGCGGGAGTTGGAATCTGTATTTACTCTCACCAAATGCAGCGGCAGGTTCTCACGTGCTTCATCATACTCCTCTTCGTTGCATACTGTGCTGCTGGACTCGCAGCGTGGAGTTCCCAGAAGAGCAAGGTGCTCTTGGCTTTGTTCTTTCTAGCCCTCCACTCTTCACGCAGGCTCGAACCGCGCCGAAGTCTTCCGGGACATCTCGTGCAGTGGCTTTGCACTGGTTGGGGTGCCAGAGAGGCCCTGCTTCAGGCATGCCGGACAAGTCTTACCTTCCTTTTAATTGCACTTGTCATGTTTTACAGGCCAGTCATGCACAGTGGCTTGCAACATCGCATGTGTTTGGCTGCTGGACCCAGCCACGGTCACCATACCTTTCCGACTACGGTTGGACTACGAATGACCTTCCCAGCAAGCTTATATAGTGTGAGGAAGCGTCTTTTCTCAAGTCAGTATGCATCGTTTGAGGGCCGAAAAAAAAATGGTTGCGACTAAACCAAGGGCCCATCATTTTTACACGTACTCCTTTCATGATTGTGTTGCGGTGCTGCAGGGTCCCTTGAAGATCTTGGGTGGCTTGCTGATGCTGCCCTTCGCCGCGTCAGCCTAGCTGACGGAGTTTGATCACGAGAAGAGGGGTTTGTTCACAAAGTTGAGACCCGAATGGCAGGTGATTGCTGCACAGATTTGGCTTCGAACGATTTCCTTCATCGTATGGCTGGAACCCTCCCTAGATTTCCCAATGTCAGAGCCAGGAAGAACGATGTAGTAGAACTCCAGATGTTTTTGTCCTCAGGCTGTGGCGTGCCCGTGCTGCCGCCTGCAACGAGCAGACAATGTGTTTGATGCATTTGAAAGGGAGTTGGCCATCCCTCTTCTCCAGTGCTCGTTCTTGGCCTTTTCATGTACGTTGGCAGGACTGGTCGCAACCTGAGAACTGACAAACTTATGGCAGATGCTGTATAGACTGGCAAGCTACTGGTAACAAACAAGGCGTTGGAGGCGGAGCTTTCCAGCATTCAGCGCATGTCAGTCGGAATCGCTGCCACATACTATACCGTCATGCTGCTGATATGGACTGCACCAGCAGTTCTTCAGGCCAAGGCATCGCTTGCCAACTCCCATGCAGAATTTCGCATGGCTACGAATGATGTTGCAGGTAGCAGCAGAGGAAGTCTACGATGCCAACTCTTTGTGGGCTGCCAAGTCCATTGCGAAAACCGGCACGGATTGGCCAACATGTTTCCGCTGGATCATGCGTGGCCAACATATTCAGAATCAGGGTCGTTACAGTTGCTGTGTTGTGTTCACTGGTTAATCAGGGATACCAGACACATGCAGGATGCTCATTTGTTGTGCTTATTTGTCCTTTCTTCAGACCAAAATGATGGCTGACTCCACCATGCATTCGACAAGAATGTTTTGCGCTCAAGGATGGCGCTTTGTCGCGGATCCCAACTATGATTTGAACACATTCCAGACATGCTAAGCTCAAACCAGCTGCCGCCTTTCACAACACAAGGCTTTCTTGCTGGGCTGGTCTCGCTTTGGAATGTCGACTCAATTTGACAGTTTTGCAAGGAAGCGTGCTTTCCCAGGCTGGGAGAAGAAGGCTCCGTGCAGCTTCTAGAGCCTTTTGCTCAGAAGGTCAGGAAATGCTCTGTTATGACTTGAGCTGCCTGAGGCGAGCAGGAGACGGCGATGTTGAGCTAGAGGCCTGACTTTGCTAGATCAGCATCCACCTGCGCCCAAAGCTTTCGATGTTGTGACTAAGCATCACGCCTGACAGTGGCAGTGTGCACTTTTCTGCATTTGTCCACATATGCTTGCCCGTCATGGCAACAGCTGTGCAACAAGCCAAGATTGAATCTACGGAGGAATGCGCAGAGTGTGAGCATGATAGGGCATGACTTTGTGCTGTACGTCATGTGCTTTCCTAGTCATGTGCCTGTTTTGCTTCACCCTGGCAGGATTTGCAAAGCACTTGTGATGAACTCAAAGCACTCGTGCAACGTGAACGTCATGATCACGCTGTAGAGGCAACTCTAGGTCCCAGGTCAGCATTCAACTGCTGATTTCCAGACAACTCCCCATGTGCAGGTAGGGCAGCTTGTTGCCAAGCTTCGAGACCAAGAAGTCATATCGAGAAGTTGTGAGAAAAGCAAGGCAGGTGCAACAGCAGTAGTGAAGTCCACCAAGTATACGGCTGGAAAGGTACAGCTCATCTCAGAAGTGGAGGAGTGGCGTGAGAGGCTTTGCAACTCAGTACACTCATGACTTCCAGATTGATTCCAGATTGCACAAGACAGTTCTGTAAAAATTTAAACCGCGCAGCACAATATGTCAGCACATTCTGACTGCCGCAGCATTTGAGATTGATAGAGACACAGAAAGCAAGAGTTTTTGCCCAAGCCATTTTCAAAACAAGCCCAGTCACCGCAAGCCCCCATGGTTACAAGTAGAGTAGGGTTTTAAATGCATTTGTGGGTGAGCGTGTGTAGGATTCACTAGGACTAGGATCTTTTTTATATTACTTTTTTAAAGTGTGGCTCTGGCGTGGAGCGTCATTACATGTTGGCCTCGAAATCCAGCTCTCGCATGGAGCGTCCTCCCACATTTTCTCTCGAAATCAAGCTCTCGCATAGAACGTTCTCATATTTTTTTCCAAATCCAGCTCTCGCGTGGAGGATTTCTGCCTTTGAAATGGAGCTCTCGCGTCGAGCGTCCTCACATTGGACCTTAAATCGAGCTCTCGCGCGGAACGCTTTCTTTTTTTTCTCGGGATGGAGCTCTCGCAGCATTTTCCTGCTTAGCTTTTTGGTTTCTTGGCTTCTTGTCGCCATGTTTTTAGTTTATCCTTTTTTTTCTCGGCCGGTTGGCTTGTTGGCTTTTTGGATGCTTTGCTTGCTTAACTTTCTGGTTTCTTATTGTTGGCCGCTTGGCTTGTTGGCTTCCTGGTTGTTTGGCTTTTTGGTTGTTCGGCTTTTTCGCTTCTTGTTTTTTCGGCTTTTTGGCCTCTTCGCTTACTTGACTTTCTGCCTTCTTTCTATTGGTTGTTTGGCTTTTTGGCTCCTTAGCTTTCTGGCTTCTTCGATTTCTGGCTGCATTGTGTTCTCGCTTGCTGTACCTTCCTGTAGTAGTATTGGTAGTAGTAGTAGTAGTAGTAGTGGTGGTGGTGGTGGTGGTGGTGGTGGTGGTCAGAATAACGCTGCCCCCTGGAGATTTTCCAAAATGAGGTCGAGACCACTGTAAAATCAACCTGACGTGGAGCGTTTGTGAGGTTTGTTTTCAGAGGTTGCTGTGCATACTGTCGTCACGAACGAAGTAACCTCCCTACTAATACTCAGACAGGCTTTGTCAAAGGTTTTTGAAAGTTTGTGAGGTTTGTTTTCGCAGCTTGCTGTGCTCATTGTCGTCAGGAACGTAGTAATTAGCCCCTTTTACTAATTCTCAGACAGGTTTTGTCAAAGGTTTTTGAAAGTTTGTGAGGTTTGTTCTGTGGGAGCTTGCTGTGCTTAGTGTCGTCACGAATGTAAGTACCCCCCCTTCCCCACCTTCCCACCCACACCACCAGAAAAGCGAAGGTAGTTTTTCAGAAAAACGCCGCCTCCTCCAGAAATTCAAAATGAGGCCAAAACCACTGTAAAATCAACTTGGGGCAAGAAAAACCAAATGTCAGCTACGCGACGTTTCCTTCTTAGTAGTAGTAGTAGTAGTAGTAGCAGTAGTAGTAGTAGTAGTAGTGGTGCTAAGAGTAGTAGTAGTAGTAGTAGTAGAAGTAGAAGTAGAAGTAGAAGTAGAAGTAGTAGTAGTAATAGTAGTAGTAGTAGTAGTCGTAGTAGTAGTACTACTACAACTACAAGTAATAGTAATAGTAATAGTCATAGTCATAGTAATAGTATTAGTATTAGTATTCGTAATGGTATTAGTAATAATAATAGTAATAGTAATAGTAAGGACACTGCGCACACTGCCGACAGTCCGTCTGCTGAAGACGAGGGGGGGAGAGCAAAGACCAGCCCACGTCCAGTGGGGAAGCGGCTGACTCCCATGACAAGGAGGCCAGCTCGCCAGAGCCCGACCACCAAGCATGGCCGTGGTCGCTGAACTGGATGGCGCTCCCCCTTCCAAAGCCGAGCCAACGGCTCCTGCAGACCCACGCCGGTGGCGGCCGTCATCTCCTGCTCCTCAGGAGCCTCAACAGGAGCTCGAGACCATGGAGGTTTCGCGTGTAGTGGCTGCTGCCTTGCGCAGCGTTTTTACTTGCCCGTTGTGCCCCCTCCAAATGCCGGGGGCGTCCGCGCTTGAGCACATCACGCAGTGCGCCTCCCGGCCCAACATTGGAAACTTTCTCCAACAAACGAGGGAAGGCAGCAATGAGCGGCCGCTGGTTTCCCGGGGCACCCGTCACAACCCCGCCACCCGCTCAGTAGCCAACAGGGTCAGCTTCCTCGAATGTAAAGCGGAAACACACACAGGTCCCCCTAGACTCGCTCAGTCAATTGGCGTCGGAAGCCCTCGATGAAGAAGCGCGGGAAATCGCTTGTTTTGTCCTGGGTCACTTTACGGCAATTGGGGGGAACCCATCCCAAACAACGACCTGGTCTTCCTCCCGAGCCTGACCCGGTCGCTGTGCAAAATGCTTCAGGAAATGGCGGAGGCTCTGTGCTAGCACACCAGGGGTAAGCCCTTCCAGCTGATGCCGGTAATCAATCCACCGGCTCCACCCTCTCGACCCTGCCGAGCAGAGCACGCAGGCCGGCTCTTCGGCCAGAGCTCGTGGCAGCCCAGTGTGCTTGCCCACCTCGGCCTGCCTGTCGTGCACAGCTACTCCCGCAAGCATCATGACGGATCCGGGGGCTCACCCGCGCAGTCCCCCCGAAACCCGCACCTTGCTCAAAACCGCCATGGCGAAAGTGGCCCACATGCACGCAGACGGCATGTTCGCGAGTCCGACTTCTCTGTGCCAAGAGATTAGGCAAGGTCCTAGCGGCTTTGGTGTGGCCCCCAAGGCTTCGAGGCGGCGGGTAGGGCATCCTTTCTGAGTATGAACTCTATCGGAGTCGCGGAAGCAGCCGTGATCCCCACCATAGAAGTTACCAAACCCCCGGCCAAGAGAGCGATCCTGAGCCTGGCAAGCGGAATAGAAAGTACGGACAGCTGCCAGCAATGCCTGTTCAAGCATTCTCCTAGACCGCCTGCCAAGAGTTTCCCTTCCCCACGCGCACTTTCGCGCAACCCTGCCATGGGTTACTCTAGCGGAAGTAGGCCTGGGCGCACTTCTCAACCAGGAAGGCACGGGGCACCGATCAAGGGTGGAGCCCGTAGGTGCAGGAACTGGACACTGCCCAGCCAGGCAGATCCACGCCTTGCGCTCGCCCATGGGCGGCGCTTGCGTCCTGTAAATAGTAATAGTAATAGAAATAGGAATAGTACTAGGAATAGTAATCGTAATAGTAATAGTAATAGTAATAGTAATAGCAATAGTAATAGTAATAGTGGGGCTAATCGTATACGCTTGCCGCGCAAACAGCGGCTTTGTGTTGTGCTTTTAGGATTGCATCCTGCGAAGTTGGCTCGTGATATTTCAGGGCAAGAGGCAAAAATGCTACGCTTGCCAGCTTATTTGCAATTCAGGAGATTGGACGAGGTCAACTGTGGGAACTTTGGTGGCGCAAGAGGCGTTGGGGCAGGTCAGCTCCGAAGATGCGCCGGTTTCTGGTGCACGCGTGCATTTTATACAGGTTTCCGAGCCTTTTTTTCGTTCGGTTTGTCGGTCTTTCAGTTCGCTGGTGTTTCCATCCACGAGAGGTCCACAAAAGCCGTTTGCGGCGGGACTTTGTCCTGCAAAGCTGCGCGGTAAGAGGCCACTGCGCGAACTGCATTCAGCAATCCAGGGTTGGTACTGAGCCAACGTAGACATAGGGTCAACATGTTGCGTGCTGGCCTTGACTTCTTTTCACGTCTCAAGCTTCGCTTGATCTTCGATGCAAGGGACTCGCACCTTTGCCCGCCTCCTGGGATCCGGAGTTCTGCAACAACCTCTTGTGGTCGCAGCTTCTTAAGAGAGTTTCTGCCTCAAAACGGGCAGCGCCTCGGCCTTACTCTCTGATGGGGAGGGTGCCCCTCTTTTGGGCCCCCTCTTGGTCTGCGCAGGAGGCAAAGGAAAAGCGAGGTCTCCGCTGGAAGAGCTGGGAGAGGAGCGATGAGAGAGCAGTAAGAGCCGACCCGTGTGCGTGTCGGAGCGGGCTCGCTTCTGCTGGACCCTGCGCTTAAAGCTTTTCTGCTTTCAGACGCTTGCTTCGCTCCTCCTTCGTGAGTGTCCGCGAGTCCACTTTCTTCTTGGTGCTAGAAACGCGCGTGCCATCCACATCTACTGTTCCAGCAGGCACGGACTGCTTGTTTGCCGGTGTCAAGTGCGCATGAGCCATGCGCACTCGCAGCTTGAAATACATGCCGTCGATGTATTCCTCCTTTCTGCCCACCAAATGCAAGGCCGCGTCTGCTGGCGTCCTGCAAGTGTCCGCTGGTCTTAGATGCCTAAAAAAATGGAAGACCGTGCGAGGAAAACACTTTGGCCCAAACCCCGAACTGCAACGGTTTAATTTGGCGCCCGCAGAGAGAAAACGTACAGAAGCCGCAGGAAGGACTGGCAGTCAAGCTTCTGACCACCTCGTGTTCGATCATACAGCGGGGTGTAGGCCAAGAGGTAGTTGGCGAGGCCTGAAGAATGCAGCCAAAAAAAGAAGCCCTAAATAGCTTACGCTTGAGACAGCAGCCAAACTTAGCAGGCTTCAACGAAGTGACCCTTGCAGAGCTGGCAGAGCTCTTGCGTCTGCGCAAGATTCGCTCTTCCTCTTGAAGTAGCTGGAGCTGGTAACGGTGCCGCTCGGCGTCAGAGAAGGACCAGGCCCCGTAGGGTGCTTCAGACAGCTCGCCGTCCGACTGCCTTCGTCCGAGACATAATTGCCGTGCGCAAGCCCAACCTATGAACCGCAGGGAAAAGCATAGAGGAGTTTCCTTTCAGGGTGGAAAAGCCTTAGACTAAGCTTTTGGAAGGCAATAAGCTGCTCTGTGTCAGAGACTGCCACCTCGAAGGACCTGGGCAACATTGTTACATTCAGGCGCAGCGCGCGTAAAAAAAAATGTCGGGAGTTTGCTTCTCCATCTGCAGCCCCAGGATCTGGAGCTCCTCCAAAGTTCTAAGTTTTGCTGCGTGCCAGCCCGGGGGCCGCATTCAAGTCTGGATCTGATCTCTGTGCAAGGCTCTTTTCGAG